CCTGCAGCTGGGTTTTGTGGAGCATCTCTGGTGCTCCATCTGCATCGGGGTGTGTTTGCTAAAGCCAATTGCAGCATGAAAGGTGCAGTTGTAGCCAAACCATTCACAAACCCGGTCCCTTTCCCCCTCCCCATCTCTCCCCTCCAACACACATTTAATTTTTAGGATGGTGCAGCTGGAAGGAAGGGAGAAAGCGAGGAAATGAGATGAGGAATAGTGTGCAGCTCCCCTTTACCCTCTGACAAAATCCAAGCCCCACTTTAATGAATGCGTTTCCATGTCTGGTCCTCGCTGCCAATCCCTCCAGACGGCTCCAAGGTGCTTCAAGGCAAGGCAGCAGGTCCTTGTAGAGCATGGAGGGCTCAGGCTGAGCCTGGAGGGTCTTGTTGTGGCCGATTCCACCTAATCCTGTTGATTAATTTAACTCCAGGGCTAAGAGGAGCCCAGAAGCAGTGAATGGAGAGGAGAGAGGCAGAGGGGGTGGAAGGGAAGTAGAGAAGGGAAGGGAATGGGGAGAGGGAGGACACATCCAATCTGTAATTACTGAGGGTTTTCTTGGTGCTTTCCTCCAGCTCCACTTTCCTTCTGCTCCTTTCAAACCCCTCCAGAGAGCTCTCTCTATTGTACCCAACCTGAGCTGGCAGCATTACTGAGGAATGGGAGCTGTGGGAGGTAAACTCCACATTTCCTCGGGCCAGAATGGCTCCCAGAACGTGCCCAGGCTTCTCTTTGTCACCTTTCCCGTGCCATCCTGCACTCAGCCCTGCACACGAGCTCTGCCCACACTCATCTCCACAGGCAGAAAGAACCACCGGGGTTCATTGCACTTCCCCAGCTCACTGCAGAGCAGAACTCGACACTGGTCCACACAAACCCTCAGCAAGTCCCTTCACGTGGCTATTCCTCCCCTCTGGCACGAGCCACGTCCTTCTGCTCCAAGAAGGTACCTGTACATTGGCACAGTTTCTCGGGAGAGGAGGGAAGGGCTGATGAATTTTCCCACTAGCATCCCTGCTTTCACTCCCACGATGAAGTCTGTCTTTTTATTTCCAAAAGTGTTGCAAAGCAGAGAGGTTTGAGCAGTTTGTTTTCTTTCTGAGCTATGGAGCAGCTGCAATAAAAAAATAAAGGTGGAATTGTTCTTAAATATATAAAATCTAGTGGGATGAGTGCATGTGTAACACACATGCCTTTCCTTAAGTTTTTTTCCTTTTCTCTGACTTATTCTGCTGTGAGATTTTTTTCCCCCTGCCTTCACCTCCCTTTCTGCTCTTTCCTGTCAGTCTTTCCCAGTGTGATTTCCTGGGGGAGCTCCGTGGTGGACAGATAGCTGGTTCCCATCCTTCATCACAACTGCTGATTGGAAAACCACCCAAGAAGCTGCTTCTAGATATTTCTCCACCTTCTTATTTATACTGTTGCTTGTGCTGAGTAAGTGTAAAACGCTACCAGCTCATGATTATTCCTACAGCAACAGTCCCGTCGTGCTGGGGGCTGGAATCTGGGATTTCCCCTGCTCACAGCCTGTTTTTCACACAGGGATGTGTTGCAGAAAACGAAGTGTTTAAATTTTGGGTGAATCCCTGGCGAGGGAGCCTCCTGGAGTTACGTTTGCAGCTTTTGAAAGCTTCGAATTGTGAGGAATCTCTGTGGAGATTGTGCCAGTGGTTTGTCCAGGTTATTTCCATTCAGGAAGGGCAAAGACCTGCTGAGTGGCACGTTGGGCAGGTGAGGGAGACTGTCCATGATAACAGGGATGTGTTGTGTAACAGGCTTGACCAGCCCATCCCAGCTGGAAGGCTTTCTCTATTCTCCCCCGGTTCCCTGTCTGACAGGAGCAGCTGTGCCCTGTCAGACCAGCTGGTTCCAGGCATATCCTGGGATTTTTCTTGCTCTCTTGGTTTTGTCTTTGTAGTCGGGTCATTGGAGCCTTGGACTTGGCACGAGGAGCTGTGGCCTCTTTTCCCAGCTCTGCTCCTGACTCACAGGGTGACCTGACCGTAGGTGGGCGACTTCCGCCGCCCCTGCCGCGCTTGGGAAATGGGGATGATGCCAGTGGGGAGCTGTTTGGAGGCTCAGGGATAGGGAAGTTTCTATTGCAAGGGTCAGCCTGTAGACAGCACTGATGGCTGGGGGTGGCACAGGTTGCTCCTCATGGCAATCAGTCGCCCCCTCCCAAAGCTTCGTGGCCAAATCGGGGATCCTCAGTCATTAGTTTAAAGCTGGTGAGGAAAGTGTGGCTGTTTTCCCTTCCAGACTTCTGCAGAGAGAAGTGAAGTGGGGGAGATGAAATAAGTTACAGATCCTTTTCTAGACTGTTTTTCCTTCGCCTGGGGAGGTACTGGGTGGCAGCAGTTGGATCAGATGAGCAGATGGGCTGTAGGTAGATGGGATGACGCTGCTGCCAGCTGGGCAGGGGGAGGGGAGATAGCCACGACCACACTCTCATGTCAGGACTTGCCTGTTTGGGGCCTTGGTGAAACACCACAAACAACCATTCCCGTGCTAAAGAGCTCACAGGCTGCAAGTTCCTACTAAGTGTGTGTAGTGTGGTACTAACTACACCTAGATGTGGAGTAACTACAGAGAAATAGGACATTTAAAACTGTGTATTTTCCTTACCCTTCCTCACACTGGCTCCCTCACACTCTGGACACAAACGCACTTCTGTCCTTGTTGTTTTTTTCATACCAAACATTACCAGGAAAGACACGAACTAATTAATAATCACTTCAGTGATGGACCTGAATTTACTGAATGCTATGGGTTTCCAGATGTGCTTTTGCACAGCATGGTACTCCAAAGCACAGATGTGCTTCTACCTGTCCTGAATCATCTGGGACCCAGATGTGGAGGGGTTTTATTTTCAAGTGCAGATGTCCCTTTGATTAGACACCCCAGCCCTTCCCTGAAAGTGGACAAAACCAAAACACTAGTTCAGTAATAAGTTTTTGCCATCTGCAGTAACATTGTCTTTAAAATGTGGGGCAGAGGCTGCTCCTCTGAGGTCAACAGCGAATTTCTCACTGATTTTGGTGAGAAACGAAGAAATAAAAGGTGATCTAAGAGATGAATGTGTGTAAAGACAGTTATTTATTGCTGAGCCAGAGGTAGGAGGAAAAGCTCTTAATGTGATGTTTTTGCCCCCAAACCAAACCACGCTCTCCCTGCAGCAGAGCTGCCCTGGCCCCGGCACAGCCACGTTACCCGAGGCCCGGCACCCTCCCCGTGACGCCCCGAGACATAAAAGCATTTTTGTTTTGAATGCAGAGGCATTTTGTGGTGATCTCAGTATAAACAAGAGAGTTCCGAGGGGATATTTGCCTCCCACTCCTCAAACTGCCGCCGCTCCCCGGCAGCTGTCGGGGCACTCACAGCTGCCGTTCCCAGCCCTGACAGGAGAGGAGGCAGATTTTTGGATGATGATAATATAGAGACTGAAAAACACCGTGAGGAACTGCAGGGAACTTTCTCATCAAGCTGAGCATATGGAAGTCCTGATTTAATCCCTAAATTAGCGAAGGGTCACCCAAAAGTAAAAAATTACTTCTCTGTGAGCACGGTTTGACTCTGGCTCTGTGGTTCCTCTGAAAGGCAGGAGTCAAGCCTGGTAGGGAAAAAAAAAAAATCAGTGACATTACAGAGAGTCCTGTTCTCATGAGAGAGAAGGAAGTGGTGACAGAGGCCAGATCTCTCACCTGCCTCAAAGGTATCATCCATCAGGCTGTTCCTCCCCTGCTGCCATGAACCAGTGACACATTTCTGACTGTCCCAAAGGCAGACGTGAAGCTTGGCCTCAAACAGCTACATCTGCACTGCAGGGAACTGAGAACCTGCACACTGGGCCTTGAAACACAAGATTTGCTCCATGAGAGCAAACACTGGAGTCACAGCTCCGTGTTCTTGGTGTGCCCCCTCCAAAATCCACTGAAGACTGGGTGAATATCAATGCAGTGCCTTCTGCTTTATCTTCAGAGGGGAAAAATAGAGAAAACTGGGTTTACTTATTGCAGCTGTGCTTTTTGAGGCCTCGGGAGGCAACAGGTGTGGTGCCAGGCTCAAGGCAGGGAGAAGGGAAAAGCACAGGTCCAGGGAAAGTCAAGGAATAAGTGACATTGGGACAATTGGGACAAGGAATAAGTGACCAACTAGACATTGGGAAAGGCCTTCGATGGCATCTGAACTCTGCAGGAGTTCTGGGCTTGTGCAAAACTCCTGCTGAAATGGGGGAATTTAGGAGTGGAGGAACTGTATCCTGTGGGCAGCCCAACCTCCAGGTAAAGCAGAGCTGGAAGGGTTTCTTCCATCTGTAAGAATTCCTGATTGCTCTTTTTTTTGCTTCCTAACATGGTTTAAAAGAGCTGAAATCTTAAACACCGACACTTGACAAAACACAGGAGAAAATGAGGCAGCACAAGCCAAAGCATTTTTATGTGACATTTTTATGTGCTTATTTCAGCTTTGACATTTTTTCAGTGCAAAATGTGCACCTCTGAAACAGTAATTTCAAATTAAACATAAGTCAACAGCTGGAAGTTCTTTCTGTGTAACAATTTGAATCCAGGACCATGAGTCATTTTTTTCCTGCAAGAAGTTTTAATTTTCCCAAGTTTTCTTTGCAATGTGGGAAAAAATAATAGGAGGGAACAACATAAGTAACATTAATCTGGCAGATGTGTCATACATGGGCACCCTAGGAGGGTGGGCAGGCCCTGGCACAGGTTGCCCGGAGAAGCTGTGGCTGCCCCATCCCTGGAAGTGTCCAAGGCCAGGTTGGATGAGGCTTGGAGTGACTTGGGCTAGTGGAAGGTGTCCCTGCCCATGGCAGGTGGAACTGGATGAGCTTTGAGGTTCTTCCAACCCAAACTGGAGTGTCTGTGATTCAATGCTTTGTTTGGATTGACAGGAGAACCAGGATTCCTTCTCTGGGCTGCTCCACCCTTCCCTCTGTATGAACTTGAGCCACCCAAACCTCACCTCCCGTTCCTTTCCCACCCCAGGTAACAGACTGGACGAAGGCTCTGACGTGGAATCCGAACCAGACCTGCCCTTGAAGCGCAAGCAGCGGCGCAGCAGAA